GTGATCATGTGCAATGGTGGAGATCTGTGAAAAGTATTATGGTAGCACAAAGACGGGGCTTCTAATCCAGCACGAGAAAAATCAGGCATGGCTTGGGAAGGTCAGACTTTCTAAAGAAGGTGACTTCTGCGCTGAGATTTACAATCTTAAAATGTTAAGATGTTAGTAAAATGAAAAATCAGATAAGGACATTTAGAACATAAGACATAACAGCATAAGCAAAGTCACAAATGGAAGAAATATCACTTTAAACGAGAAGATTGGAGTCTAACATGTAAGGCTGGGAGAAGATAAGATGAGGCTTGAGAAGCACACAAGTCTTAGAAGGGGTTTTAAGCCATGTCAAGGAGCTTGAACTAACACCTTAACACATTCTATTCTCTCATATGGAATGCTTTGCCCGATATCCTCTGTTTAAACATTTAAAAATCAGATAAAATTTCATCTCCTCTGTGAAGCTTTTCTTATGAATTCTACTCATGCCAAATTCTCCTTTTCTGAACCATATTTATTGTCCAAATCATATGATTAGCACTTTATTGTATATATTGCTCCATTCTCCTGTGTATTTCACATATTTTGCACTTTCTTTTGTCAATTTGTAATACTGACATAAATGATCCTATTTTTTCTTGATTGTTTCATGTTTAAAGAAGGTTTATTAAGCTCCAAGTAGGAAATAAACCTTGGGAGCACCAGGGACACTGATAAATGTTTTATTAAATTACTATAAATTATATAAAATTATGAGAAACATTTTGAGTTTCTTAAAAGAAAATACACTATTACGAGTAAAATATTCTCTATTCACAGTAAAAATCATTACCAAATTTCTACTTGTTTTAAGAGAAGTGAGGATTTCATATATAAGTTTTAGAAATTAGAAATACTTAAACTAAACATGAGCTGTCTGATATGCATGAAGAGAATGAGAGTATTAGAAAGTCTCTCCATAAGGATCATCATAAAACCCTAACATGAAATAAACTACCAAACATGCTATATATACTAAGGCACCATAATAGATACCTTTGAATCAAGTACATAAACACTAATTTTGGCCATCTTACAAATAAAATATAGGAAAATCCTTTAAAGACTCCGTAAAACACTTATAACTAAACTCCAAATTTTTCCAAACGTGAAACAAAATAAAATGCCAAAATGTCTTAATAAAAAGTGATTCTTTTAAAAAAGCTAGAAATGTATTGCTCATTAAACTTAAATTTAAAATAAGCTTTAGTTTTATATGAAATTAACCAGTGCTAGAGAGTTTCATAAAAGCTTTTCTTACTATTAACAGAAAATTTCCATGGGTCATAAGAAAATTAGGAAAGCTGACTGGCCCCTGATGCATTTCTCTATCCTATTGAGATTAGCAAATAAATGAATTATGAAAACAATGTAAATAACTTACAATTAAAAATTCTACCTGGGCCGGGTGTGGTGGCTCACGCCTGTAATCCTAGCACTCTGGGAGGCTGAGGCGGGCCGGATTGCTCGAGGTCAGGAGTTCGAAACCACCCTGAGCAAGAGTGAGACCCCGTCTCTACTATAAATAGAAAGAAATTAATTGGTCAACTAACATATACAGAAAAAATTAGCTGGGCATGGTGGTGCATGCCTATAGTCCCAGCTACTTGGGAGGCTGAGACAGCAGGATTGCTTCAGCCCAGGAGTTTGAGGTTGCTGTGAGCTAGGGTGAGCCACGGCACTCACTCTAGCCTGGGCAACAAAGTGAGACTCTGTCTCAAAAAAAAAAAAAAAAAAAAAGAATTAATATTCCCATTAGCATAGTTAGAACCTACTTAACCCATATTTCCCAACTTTACCTTGACCATGAAACACTTTATTTCATAATTCATAAACCAAACTAATATTCTGGGGAACATGTACTCCAAAGAACATACTTCAGGATTTTAATCTACAAAATTATTGTATGTTCTTCCTTCCCTAGTGCCCTGAAATGATTACGAAGAATAATTTCTGCTGGGGGGGGCATGGTGGCTCATGCCTATAATCCTAGCACTCTGGAAGGCTGAGGTGGGAGGGAGGATTGCTTGAGCTCAGGAGTTACATACTAGCCTGAGCAAGACCAAGACCCTTCTCCACTAAAAACAGAAAAATTAGCTGGGTGTTGTGGCGCGTGCGTGTATAGTCCCAAATACTTGGGAGGCTGAGGCAGGAGGATCCCTTGAGCCCAGGAGTTTGAGGTTGTAGTGAGCTATGATGATGCCACTGCACTCTACCTGAGGTGACAGAGTAAGACTCTGTCTCAAAAAAAAAGGAATAATTTCCCAGTAAGCAACATTGTTTCATTCAACTGTAACCAAAACTGAGAAAAGAACATTACCTGTCAATCTTTGTTACCAATACATCAATCTCTTTCTTCAACTACAGCCCTTACACAATTTCCCAAGGTATACTCCATTAATAAGTGCTTCATCAAAAAATGGGATCCCATGGTAGTAAAACTGTGGACTTTGATTCACTCGTGAGTCAAGAAACCAATGTAAGAGGCAGGGTGTGATGGTTCATGCCTGTAATAGCAGCACTTTGAGAGGCCAAGGCAGGAGGACATGTGCCTGTAATCTCAGCTACTGGATAAGTTGAAGCAGGAGGATTGCTTGAGCCAAAGAGTTTGAGGTTGCAGTGGGCTATGAAGACACCACTGCAGTCTAGCTCCAGCAACAGAGCAAGACTCTGTCTCAAAAAAGTAAAAAACAAAATCAATGTAATGAGTCTTGAACAAAATATTTTTAAATGAAAAGCTAGACTAGAAAAAAATAAAATAGAAAATATAACAGTACATTGCTTATGGTAAAGGTAAATATTGCCTCACGTGTATTTTATTTCAGGTGTATATACATATACTTGTACTAGCCTACATGTAAAATATATTTCATAATATGGACTATAATCAAAAAAGTTCAGGAACGCTATTTCAAAAAAAGCTGGGCTAAAGAAGTTTCTTTATTGCAGAACATTTTAGAGTCTTTAATGAATTCCAAGAGCATTTCTGGCCACAAGAACCTTTTTTTATTGAAGCATCTCAGAGGACTAGTGCTCCTTGGAACACAATTTAGGAAATACTGTCTTTTGGAAACAGTACACCTTCAACTGTCTTGAGGCACATTATATAAAACAATGCTCAATTCTCACCTCCTTCAGAATACCCACAATCATATTTCTCATCTTAATTGCAGCCATCCTTCATAATTTAGTCAAACTTACATAATCTGAATTTGGTTAGCACAAAGAAGTGGTTAAATACTTGGGTTTTAATTCTAGCTCTACCACTTACTGGCTGTGTAGTTATCATCCTTGCATTGTTATTTAATCCTTCCCACAATTTTCTCATGTGGTTTAAGAATAACATGAATACTTATGTCACAGGTTTTGGGGTTTGTTTCTTAGGATTAAATGAGATAATGTACATAAGTCATTTATTCCAGCTCCTGGAATGTAAAGGGCATTCAACATATGATATCTATTACTATCAGAATAGCACTATCACACCACCAGTACAGTTATTATGAGATACACAGAGCTAAAGAAACTATTAATATAATAAAAACGCTGTGCTGCCGCCTAGTGGGCACTGTGATTTAAAAAATGGATAATTAAGTTTCTCACACTACAGAATGAAGCAGTATAAAAATTACAATATTTTCTCAAGCTACATTAGCACAATTTATAATCATCACAGTGAGGAATTTAAATTTTCAAAATTTAATAACTACCTCAAGGCCACCCTGAAACCAGGGAGGGTAAGAAATGGCTAGAGAACTGAAGGACTACAGAGCAAACTCCACCCACATAGTATTTGCTGATTTTCAGGTTAGAATATTTCTTTTTTTTTTTAATTTTTCATTTTATTTTGTGTTTTACCAATCTGGGTGCTGCTGAGAAGTTAGAATATGTCAATAAGTATTTTTCCTTCAAGGTACAAAATAAAGAAAGCCATAGGAATTTATCAAAACTAAGGCAAAAATAGCAAATAATCAAAAGTTAGAGGATCTCAATTAATCTTCTAAGTGAAAGATGCTTACTGGAAACTTCACATTTTCTTTCTAAATGGAATGTAGTGATTATAAAGGTTCCCAAAAATGCCTTAAAAGTTAACACTTATTTCCAAAAGCAAAGTGAGTGGAAGATTATGACAATAACATAAATAATTTTTATGAAAAATTTATATCTATGATTTGGCATTATCTGGATTAGCAGGACAGTCATTTCAGTCCCAGGGAAATTCCATTTAATTTACTTGTACAAGGCACTTCAGAAGGAATAAAATTACCAGACGAATAAAGAAAAAAATAGAGAAATTTCCTTGGAGATTTACACACTTGCAAGACTGTTCATTGCGCTAGAAGAAATTTATTCTTTGAGATGGGGTCTCCCTCTGTCACCCAGGATAGGATGATCTGAGCACAAGTGATCCTCCCACCTCTGTACTATACTTAAAAAGATTCTGAAAAAAAAAAACATTCTGCAAAGTAACATCCACCAAAGAAAGTCGAGATTCACCAGTAACAATTTGAAATGTTAAAAACGCTGAGCACCAGAATTGTTTGAAATTTTTCACAAGAATGACCAATATTATCACATCGCATTCATAAGACAAATACCAGGTTTAAAACAAAAACAAAAAACACGTAAGGCACATGTATAGAACGTGCTTCCCTATGATTAATAAACAAGATTCTTATCACTAACCTGTAACCTTGATACCGTTTCATGAAAAGCAAAGAGAAGTCTGTACAAAGAGATCAAGACGGTGGCCAGAGGTGCCAGCTTATTCTGGATTGCAATGGAAGATTCTAGACACAACACGACAGTGAGGAGACTCCAGGAAACGCGGCCCCTCGGCAGCCAGAGCCGCGGAAGAGTAAGTCAGGCAACCAGAGGTGCAGGGCAAATCATTAAGTGGACCCTGGGTGAAAAGATTAGGGCGCTTCCTAAACAGCCCAGTAAAAAACTAGTCAGCTCCAAATTACCTCAGGGAAGCGTCTTCGGTTGCTGCAGGAGCTTCCGAGCTTCCGATTGACCTTTTCCCCTCTGCCCTAGGGCACTTCCGGTTTAGGGCTAAACAGTCATTAGCTGAGGATGAGTGGGAAACCGTGAGGATCTGGGGCAACACGTGATTGATTTTTTTTTTTTTAAAGATACAAGCTCCTGAAAAGATCTTTCCGGATGTTTAATGCTTTTCTTTAACACACTTACTGCCACACAACAACAACAACAACAAAAAAAATTTTCCTGGGGATCATGATGTTTTATTAGAAAAATAGAATAAAAACTTTGAAAACAAAATGATCCTTTCTAATTTAATGAAAAATTTGTTATTTTTCATTGTTTTCTGTGCAGGAATTATAAGCAACTTGAAAAATAGTTCACACAGCTCCCAAAGTAAAGAGATGTGTGAGTAATATATGCTTCACAAGGCCCCAGGCTCAAAACTAGCATGAATTAAATACAACTCACATGGCAGTTAATGTGTTAAGTAAAACATTTATTGGCTTATGAAGCCATGTTAAAAAAAAAAAGTCTTTAGGGCTGAGCATGGTGGCTCACACCTGTAATCCTGGCACTTTGGAATGCCAAGATAGGAGGATTGCTTGTCCTCAGCAGTTTAAGACCAGCCTGAGCAACTTATCGAGACCTCTTCTCTACAAAAAATAGAAAAATTAGCTGGGAGTGGTGGTGCGCACCTGTAGTCACAGATACTGGGGAGCCTGAGGCAAGAGGATCACTTGAGCCCAGGAGAATACCTGTGGGAAACAATCGAAACTGTATAGATAAGGACAGGAGAGAGGGAGAGACTTTTCATCGTATACCTTTTTATGCTTTTTGATGTCTGAATCATGTGAATGTGTTATCTGTTTAAAAAATTAAATGTTGCTTATTTTTTTAAAGTGAAATATTAAAGAGAAAAGAAACTGTAGCTCTAATTATACTGGTTATCACACTTATTCCAGCACCTAACTAGCAATATATTTCAATATGTTACATTAAATATTCATTCAATATGAACATAATATGTTTCAGGCCTACATAGTTTTTGCCTGCTACCCAAATCCAAAAGAAATGGTTCCTGCCCTCAAAATTTTAACCACATTTCTAAGTAAAAATCTTTTTGGAACTCTTTTTACTCCCTCCCTTCCTTCATGCCTTTGCCCAAATATCATCTTACTAGGGTGACTGTCCCTGCCTACCCTTAGTAACACCCACACATGTCCCCTATTTTGCCCCACCTTACTTTATTCTCCATAGCACGATCACCACCTAACTTCGTTTGTTGATTGTCTATAGAACACAAACTCCATGAAAGCAGAGATGAGTTTTGTTCACTTTTGCATACCAGATTGTAGCACCATGTCTGGTATACAAATGCCAAATAAATTGCAATGAATGAATGGATGGGATATTATTATCTTTCATTTGGTATATACTAACCATTACAGCTATACTCTAATAAGTAATATTTACTGGTAATTTATAATTGTGCCAGACAATGAGCTAAGTGTTTTACATACATTATCTCATTTTAGTCTCCACAACAATCCTGTTACTAAATACTTTTTGCATATAAGGAAACTAAGTCGTAGGTAGGTTAATGAGTTGAACTTAATGACCTCTGGATCCTTTTCTAACTCTATAAGGTTTTCTCAATGATCAGTGCTATGATTTGAATGTTTTTGTCTCCTCCAAAATTCATGTTGAAATTTAATCCCCAAAGCAACAATATTAAGAGGTGTGGCCTTTAGAAGATGATTGAGTCAGCAGGGGGAATAGGATCAGGTACCCTTATAAAAGGGCTTGATGGAAGGTCTTTAGCCCTTTTTACCACTTCAAACATGTGAAGACCCAGCATTCCTCCTCTCGGGATGCAGCTGCAAAGCACCATCTTAAAAGCAGGAAGCAGCCCTCACCAGACACACAACTTCCTGGAGCCTTGATCTTGGACTTCCTAGCCTCCAGATCTGTGAAAAATAAATTTCTGTCTTTTATAAGTGACCCAATCTGTAGTATTTTGTTATAGCAGCACAAATGGACAAAGACAATTGATAAATATAAAATATAACTTGTTCCTAAAAGAGAGATTTGAAATAATTTTCAGAATTTTTTTTTTGTTGTTGTTGTTGTTGCCATTTCTACTTTTCTAAAGTGTTCATTATAGATGTTTCTACTACAATGGAAAACACCTTGGTTTCAATTTAAAACAAGATCTTGGTTAATCACTTAAAAATAATCTCATTATTATGTTAACAAGAGCAATAAGACTAAGCATATCCTTTGCCCAGTAATCCCACTTTTGAGATAACATTCCAAGGAGAAAAATAAAATGGAAACAGGAAAAGGAAAAACAGTATACAAAGGTGTTTATAGCACTACTATTTAGAATAGTGAAACTTTTAAAATAACTATTCTGAAATAGTTTTTACATTTGAAAAACTATATTGTATACCAATAAATTCAAACTCTTTATAACCTTTAAAAATAAGTATACTATTTCAATGCATTAAAATGTGAGTAATCTCAAATGAAAAAGACAGGACCTAACAATAGGTACACTAATTAAAACTATAAATATATGTTTGAATTCTGAGAAAGATTGGAGGAAACTTTAGAATGAGGTAACTGGTCATTTAAACACATAGGATTTTTTTAATTGTTAAAGTATTTAACAAAACGTAATAAAGTCTAAAGCTTTATACTTTCCAGTTATAACTATGTAGACTTTCCTTAAGCCATATTTGAAAATTTTCTTTTACATGCAATGAGAGAACCCATGAAATGACCATCCTAGTAGTTCCTCAAAGAATGACAAATCAAAATAAACTTGAGGTAGTTTTTAATTCTTATTAGCAAATTTTTTGTTAAATCATAATACCTAAGGCTGGTGAAGAGGTGATTAAAGTGGTCACACATACTTTTAATGACTTTATCAATGGTACAACCTTTTTGGAAAGGATGAGTGGGAAACCGTGAGGATCGGTAAAACACAAATAACGGTAAAACACAAGAAGAGCTATAAAAATGCTATTTTTTCCCTTATTCCTGGGAATTCATCCTAAGGAAATAACATGAGAAAAAAACCATATAAACAAAGATATTTATTACAACATTATCTATAATAGAATGAAAATGGAAATAATTAATATCAAAATAAAAGCATGATTGAGTAAATTATAATGCACTAAAATGATACTTTAAAGATTACCCCAGAAATAATGGAAAAATTGTGAGGGAACAAACCCCTTTTTATTATAGTCATAACATTGTTATCACATAGAATTTTTATTTATCATAAGATTACCATTTTAGCTTAATGGACTCATACTAGAAACAATGATACCTACTGCCTATATCTGTCAGTGATGGAATTTGTGGTTTTAAGTCAACCATGTTGGGAAAAGGAGCAAGGATGAGCCTGACATCTAAAGGGGGAAAACCCCAAAGGAAAGCTTTACTCCACCCACCTGCCCCCAGCCCAGGATTCTTTATAGAAGGGCCTGTGAAACTCAGAGAGCCTAAATGAGGATACATTTTAAGCGAGACATCTCTCCCCAAGTAAAAGTTTTTCTCACAATGCTTACTTACATAATGTATACCCCACAGATAGAAGCCTAGAGACTTCATTCTGTAAGGCATGTTGTCTAATTTGTTTTTTCCTCTCTGAACTCCAGAATTTTTATTCTAGTAGCTGGATGGAAACTGCCTGATCTATCTATGCAAACATAATTAAAATGTTTGTTGTTTTGTTTTGTGACAGAGTCTCGCTCTGTTGCCCCAGCTAGAGTGCAACGGTGTGATTATAGCTCACTGCAACCTCCAACTCCTGACCTCAAGTGATCCTCCTGCCTAGGCCTCCCAAAGTGCTAGGATTACAGGCCTGAGCCACCACTTGACCCTAAAATCTATTTTTTAATACAAGATAATAAAATGGAAATTATATTTTTCAAAATTTTCACATGTACCATGACCTGAAAGTAATATCCCAAAAGTGAAAATAATGGTTAAATCTTTCAATGTTTAAAATTTTTATAAAAGTTGTTATATTTTTATAGTGAATTTTATTTAGTGGATTGGCTGTTTTTCTTTGAATAAGTAGCTAATGGAGACATGCCTTATCAAAAAAATAAACATACTAAAAATGTTTAGAATTCCATGCATCTTCTTCCACTTGCCTGGCATATCCTTGTAGTCCTTTTCCCACCCTCCCTCCACACTAACCCACAGTTCCCTTAGCCTTTGTACATGCTGCTCCTTCTATCTGGAATGTTCTTTACTGTCATTAGGCCTGCCTAAAAACACCTCCTCATCCTTTAAATTCCAGTTCACAGATGTCCTCTCTGAAATTTCATTAACTCTCCGCTCCCATCTAAATAGAATTAATCGTTCCCTGCTTGGTGCAATCACTATACTCTACATATCTTTATTGAAGTATTTATCGTACTGCACTGCAATTATTTGTATATAATTACTCTCTCCTAATAGACTGTGAACTCCTTGAGGACAGGGACTTTGTCAAATTTATTTTTAAATCCCCTAAGGTTAGTACAGGGGATGACACATAGCATACTAGTTAAGAGCAAATGGCTTGGTACAAATCCAGACTCTGCTATTTACTAGATCGTAACCCTGGGCAAGGCATTTGACCTCTCTGTGCCTCAAAATCCACATTGGTAAGATGGAAATAATCATATTGGATGAAGTCTAGGAATGGCAGCTCACGCCTATAATCCTAGCACTCTGGGAGACCCAGGCAGGTGGACCACTTGAGCTCAGAAGTTTGAGATCAGCCTGAGCAAGAGTGAGACACCCCGTCTCTACTAAAAATAGAAAAAATTAGCTGGGTGCTGTGGCATGTTCCTGTAGTCCCAGCTACCCAGGAGGCTGAGGCAGGAAGATCGCTTGAGCCCAGGAGTTTGAGGTTGCTGTGAGCTAGGCTGACGCCACGGCACTCTAGCCCTAGCAACAGAGCAAGACTCTGTCTCAAAAAAAAAAAAAAAAAAAAGAAAAAATGATATAGGATGAGCATTCCTAATCCAA